TTCGGGTTAGAGCTTATATTAGAGTTAGATTTAAACTGGCATATAGTAAAATCACTTAAGGAAAACTTTTTATTAAAGCACAAAAGGTTAATACATTTGAAAACAATCATAAATCACAAGCTTTTCACTTGTATTATTTTAAAGATTAAAGCAAAATGTGGTTTCATATTCAGTTTTTTGAGAAATAAGTGATTTTTGACAAAACAAACATTTGTTTTGAATTTTTCTGATTGTGTTATGTTATATCTAATCTCAAAATAATTGGTTTGTGCTATACTAAAATCAGGTATTGTTGAAATTTTGGTGGCGATCTAGAGTAGTTTCTAAAGCTGCATACTAGCACATGATATAAAGCCAATAAAATTGGTTGTTTTGATTGATATAAACAAAAAAAAAAAAGTGAAAAATATGAAAAATGTCAAAAATATAAGAAATGAGTATTTAAATCTATCTTTGGATATTAATAAAAAATGTCAAGTATTCATATAAGTTTCTTGTTAAAGTATTGTTTTAAATTAATCTAATAATTGTTCTGTATACTTGACAAATTAACTATAGAAAAATAAAGGATTCAATTTTGCTAATTCAATGATATGTTAATAGTTAATATTGTTTTCAAATATAATAAATTGTTTTTATGCTAGAAGTACTAGTAATATGCCAGTTTATTAAAAAATTATATACAAAGAATGTACAAACATATATACGTATAAAAAAAATATAAATATATGTGTACAAAAAAAAACAAAGAAAAAAAATAGGTACATACAAAAAAACTCAATAGATATATATGTACAAAAAAACATAGATATGTATATATAAAAAACATGTAAGTATATACATACATACAACAAAAAAAATACTTTTACACTAAATTTTCAGTAAGAATTACTTCTTCTGATTCAATTGACAATTCTCTAGTAAGTGTGTTTTTCAATTCTTCATCTGTAATTGTGCTTTTGGATATATCAGCATCATTAATTAATATATCTGTGTTTTCATCATTTAAGTCTTGAGCCATGATTAGTAATTCTTGAATATTCAATTCATTTGTCTATATATATAAAAAAATATAAGGTTATTAATCTAATATTATATCTTACTTAAACCATACAAAATTAATATTTAGCTTCAAATATTAGATTTCACCAACCCAAATTTCATTTGGATGATCTATATAAATTAATCATAATCGTAATCAATCAAATCATAAAATTTTTATAAAATAA